CAATTCATGAATATATCAGCTCCCAATCCCTATAAAACAAAAGAAAGTGTTACAAACTTACACAAAACTTGGGGCCAAAATCTTCTCAAAGTTCCAATATAATTAAAAACAGGTTTTTGGCAGATTGGACAGTACAAGAAGATAGGCATAAAACATCTTATGTATACCATACGGTCACTAGGGATCATGGAATTTTATGCCTTTAGGCTTAAAAAAAGGAATCACATCAGAATCCTAGGATAGGATTTATACATGAAAAAGATTTATGCTTGTTCCTCTACAAATTGCCTCATTTATATTAATTGTATTTTGATATCATCAGTGAGGGAAAAGTAATTCCCCCCCTCATCATATTTCGAGAAACATTATGAAATTCCTTGGTGAACTCTCATGAATTAAACAAATCCAACAGTTCTACGTTTAATTAATTATGGCCCTTTGTTCACTAGAGGTGGACAATTTGATAATGTAAACAAATGCTTCAAGCATTTCCTATGCAACTACATATTTTAACAGAAGTTTGTGCTTCAAATTAGGCACCTTCTTTGTAATTAACAAGAAATTATACAACAATGCTGGAGTCCGGTCACGTAGTAATGGTGGAACTAGATATAGGCTACCCTCCACTGTAGCCCAGTGCAACCTTGTTCAAAACTACTTTTTATAGCACATAATTTCAAGATTTTGACATTTAGCCCACCCCAGCCAACTCCCATATGTGCAAATTCTTCACTTTTATGGCTGGGTAGTTAAGAAAGTCGTAGTTTTCTAGTTTTATATCATGTTAATTGATTCATTCAAGTTCAAAAAAAATTTAAATTTAGTTGTTCTTGGTTTGACTTAATTTTGTTTTATCGTTTAACAAAATATTAGCCCACCCTTTAGAAATTTTTTAGTTCCACTCTTGCATCTAAATTTTTTTAGGAAAATCTTGGAGTTATGCTTGGTGAGGAGGAAGGAAGATGAGTTCTCATGGTTGTTGAGAAGCTTGCAGCAACCAAGAGAGGTTGATTTTGCCTAGCAAATGCCTCCCAATTTATAGAGAGTGATGGTTTTCCTTTATTTCCAATAGGTAAAGGGAGGTGCTGGAACCAGCTTATTTCCAATGGTTAAAAGGGAGCACTTAGGCATGCTATTTTCCAGTAGGTAAAAAAAAACCCCAGACTCTGAACTCGACATGGCCTTCAAGCTCCAAATGCAAGAAGCCATAACCGCCTCTCTTGCTCTGAAAACCCTCGTCGTCGAGAGAGAGAGAGAGAGTTTTGGAGAGGCTGAGCTGGGGATGGGGAGGCAGAGGCGGACCTACTAAGGCGCAAGGAGGTGCAGCCCTTGCCGGAAAAACCATTGTAGGTGCTTGAAATTGCCCCTTTGCTCAACTGGTGTACAGATTACCCTATTTCCATCTTCAACATTTAAGTAAATGTCTTTGTCCTTTTACTTTTATTTATTTTTATATTACTCCATTTACTTAAGTTTACAATGTAAATAAGGAAGTACCCCCCATTTGGATTCAAATAAAAATACTAGAAAATCAAATTCCCACCCAATCAAAATATGAAAATTCAGTTTTAGTGCAAAATACGATTTAGGCTAAAAATGATGGCTCATTAAGTCAATATATACTTTGTACTAAAATCCCACAAAATCAAGTTTTCTTATTTGATGTGTAAGGAACAAAAGCCGCCAAAAATTATCTTGAGAAAATGATTATTCCGAAAAACCATTTTTCATACTTAGTGAATATTGCACCTCCGCTAAAAAATTTCTGGGTCCGCAAGTGTGGGGAGGTGAGTATGAGTGGGAGAGGAAAGGGTTGCATCCTTTGGAGGAGGAGGATTTATTTTCTCTGTTTTTTAATTATGTCTTCTTATGTAATAAGGCACTGCTTGTTCTTATAATTATTTCTTCTTTTTCGGATGTGATTTCTTCACGTTACAAAAAAAAAAAATGAGGCAGTGGTCACCATTTCAAAGTAACCAATTTGGTTTTGGTTACTCACCATTATTTGTGTGTACTCTTCTCACATATTAGTATATTTGTAATATTATTTGATTTTAATAAAGTTTGCCATAATTATCATGGTGATAATAAAGTTGATTTTGGTAGATTCTTGCACAAAAATTACTCTATTGGAGGAGAAATTTTTATATGTTCCGGGTACACCACGTGGCTAGTGTACCATCCGATAAATATAGGACATGTGGAATTATTGTCAAACTTACTGCATTTCAATTTTTGGGTGTTCTGGGTACACCACGTGGCTGGCGTACCATCCAATAGACGAAGGACATATGGAATGTTTCCAATACAGCCCGCCAGATGTCATAAAAAGGAGTAATTTTTGGGTGTTCCGGGTACACCACGTGGCTGGTGTACCATCCAATAGACGAAGGACATATGGAATGTTTCCAATACAGCCCGCCAGATGTCATAAAAAGGAGAAATTTTTATATGTTTCGGGTACACCACGTGGCTGGTGTACCATCCAATAAACATAGGACATGTGGAATTATGAAATGCAGTAAGTTGGACAATAATTCCACATGTCCTATGTACCAGCCACGTGGTGTACCAGGAACATATAAAAATTTCTCCTATTGTAGACATCCCCTTAATTTTTGCAAACTCCGTTATCATGAAACTCATTTTGACAGATTTATTTAGAAACTGAGTGAAAACTTTGAAGAAAACTAGCATTACATATCACCTGCATTATGAGAAGGTTGCAGAACTCAGTGAAGTGATTGCCTCATGGTTTTGGCTACATTATGTGAAGTTAGAAGTTAGAACCTCCAATTGATTATGCATAAGCATCCGAGGATAGTTGAAAGGGAGCATGCTGCAAAATCCATGACATAACAGTAGAAAACTACAGAACTCTCATCGCCCTACAAATCACATACATCGCACTTGAAGATGCTTGTTTATGTACTTGAAAAACCTGCTTGTTTATGTACTTGAAGATGGTTTAACGTAGCATCTACACAAATACAAGGTCTACTAACATATAATTACAATCTTCAAGAGTAAGTTGTTCTGATAACCAACAAATAAAATAGTGCACTGCATGACTATCCAAAGTGAATAAATAGAAGCATGCATGCTATGGTATTTCTATGGGGAACCCCAAGGCACCTTATGCCAAAGCATCTTTAGATAAAGACTGCATGAACTCTTACCTAGCATTATTCACAGATGACAAATTCGCCTCGATTTGGATTAGAATCCACAGCTTCAATAGACATACATATTCTAAGATGAGAAAGCTCTTTGGTACTCACAATAGCAACCCCCAATGCGCGCGCGCACATACACACACCAATAATCTCACCTTCTACTCACAATATCAATAATCTCGCTATTTGAGTCATCCCCAAGAATGTTGTATACTGCCCGAATCAAACTATAAACTAGAGAGAAAATGTCACAAATGAAGCACAAATGTATACAAAATCGAAATCTTGACAATCCCCATTACCATTCAAATTTGTACACTGAATACTCAGATTAGCGATTTGATCAAACTCAAAATGAAGCCAAAGATCAAGCTTACTTGCCAAATTCCATGACAAAATTTGAAAATTTGCCTTAAACCTGGAGATCACTCAAGGGCATTTGCGGCATTTTCAAGGAGCTGTTGTTGCTGCTGCTGCTGTTGTAAAATGGACTTGCACTGAAGCTCACGCCATTTGTTGATTCCAACAGTGCAAATAACTACCCAGAATTTAAAATCAGCCTACCATTTAAAAAGGGAAGAGAGAAGAAGAAGAAGAAGACTTAAAATTGAAATGAAAATTCATGACTCACAGCCAGCGCCGACAAAATAAAGCAGACGTTTGATTCCATATCTTGGCTTTAACATATTCATCCGATGCGTCTGGTGCATCTTTTTAGTGTTTTTGCTGTGATTTCTCACTTATTATTTTTGGGAATTTGAAATTTGTGACCCTTGATTTCTTAATATATGAAAGTTATTATATCTAGTCTAATATGAATTAATATAAAAGATTTTTATAACACAAACAGGGCATCAACGTATGGCTTGACTGTTATCAATTTCAACATTTTGCTCTTCACAGCTCAAAGCTCTGTTATTTTTTATGGAGTTGATGAATATGGACAAAGTGAAACGGAAATTTGAGTTTCAGGGGGTAAAGTGTGACAAATTGTGCAACAGTGGGGGCCCTAGAGACAGTTAAGAACGGTGAAACATGATTTCTTTGTGATTGTAACCCAAGAGAGTTCTCCCTTGGCTATGGCTAAACTTATCCAAGACCCGCAGATTGTTGGGTTTAATATATCCATCAATTTACTGAGTGTGTGGCTGTTGGTGCAGGGATTTCTAGATTAGTTATGTTTTATGCCTTTCGTCTTTTGGTCCTGTGTAGTTAACAGATGCTAGTGACTTGTGAATGAAGAGAGAGAAGATTTGCTACGAAGGTTCTGCCTCTCCTGCAGTTTAACATCAATAAGGACGTCAATGTAACGTTGGATAAGGCTTGACTGCCACTGTCATTCTGAGGCCATATATATTCCCAATTGAATGAAAAATTATCACCATTAGTCACGGCAACAACTTTGAGTACTTTGAAGGCATTGTGGACTTTAAATTTGCATCGTATTCAAGAATTGTTGCTCTTATATATATATATGGGTCAGGATGGGGGACACACATAAAACCACATTTTTTTACACACATCTTTAGCCTTTAGATCTTTGCGCAGAGAATGGGCATAGAAGCGCGACGTCATGTGACAGATTCATTCTCTACAAAAATATTTGGTCAGCATTTGAACATATCAATACATTGCTGACGTTGCAGCATAAGTTGTTCAATTGAATCAACTCAGAGACTGATATATTAATTTGTTGGGTTTAATATATCCATCAATTTACTGAGTGTGTGGCTATTGGTGCAGGGATTTCTAGATTAGTTATGTTTTATGCCTTTCGTCTTTTGGTCCTGTAGTTAACAGATGCTAGTGACTTGTGAATGAAGAGAGAGAAGATTTGCTACGAAGGTTCTGCCTCTCCTGCAGTTTAACATCAATAAGGACGTCAATGTAACGTTGGATAAGGCTTGACTGCCACTGTCATTCTGAGGCCATATATATTCCCAATTGAATGAAAAATTATCACCATTAGTCACGGCAACAACTTTGAGTACTTTGAAGGCATTGTGGACTTTAATTTGCATCATATTCAAGAATTGTTGCTCTTATATATATATATGGGTCAGGATGGGGGACACACATAAAACCACATTTTTTTACACACATCTTTAGCCTTTAGATCTATCCCAATCTAACGGTTCAAAATTCATTTAAGATGCACTTAACTTTGCATTTATTACTTTATTAGCAACAAACACAAACTTCTAAAACTCCTCTCTCTCTCATTCTTTTTTTTCTTCTTTCTATTATCTCTCTTCTTTAATTTGATTTCATGTATGTTTCCCAACAATCTTATTCACTCTCTTCCTCTACGACTTCATCATAACCCATCTACCCGTGCAGCTCTGCTCCTTCCGCAACTCCCTCTGTAATATTCTCTTAACCTGAAGCCATGATAGTAGATAAGATGCTTGGAAATTATCTTATTGCACCAATTAAGATAACTATAGTGAGAATCTCCCTTTACGTGTTCAATGAAATCCAAAACGGGATATGATTTTGGGCTACAAGTTCTCGGATTTGAGACCAAGTTTAATTTGAGATCGTCCCACCCATCATGGAACCCATTAAAATGAGAATCCTTTTTGGGTTCAAATTGTTGAGAGAATTTACCTTACCATTTACTGTATCAAAATTTCTTCTCTAACCAAGGTGTTTGGTGTGAGTGGTTCGGCACTTTCATTCCTTAAGAGAGGTCAGGGGTTCGATCCCTGCTCTTGTACGGAGTCACCACTTTGGCCAGCATTTTACCCCTTACGGGCCGACCCGGTGTGAGCGGGGATTAGTCTGGGTTGTGGTTAAGGCTTAAAGGTGCCACCCATAGTTGGGGCCCATCCAGGACCACCTCGTGGTTCAGACCAAAAAAAAAAAAATTCTTCTCTCATCAGGTCTCTTGTTACAAATTACAATATGAGTTGGTTCAAATCGAATTTTGGTTGGATGGTTTATAAAGTAGTATAAGTTGTTCAATTGAGTCGCATAGACTTAAATATAATTATGCCTTTCATCTTTTGCTTGATATACCATTTTCTAAAGCTCATCTGTTTGGTCATGTAGTTGACAGATGGTAGTGACTTGTGAATGAAGAGCGAAGAATAAGATTTGCTACGAAGGTTCTGCTTCTCCTGCAGTGTACGTAACATCAATAAGATGTCAATGTATGTAATGTTAAGATAAGACTTGACCAGCACTGCTTCTCCTGCTTCTCCTACACTAGTTCATAGAAACTGCTAGAAGGTCCAGTCCTCTCATCGTGCTTGAGACCTAATGTGGTTTACAATTTTGAGAAACATTAGGAAATTCCTTGGTGAACTCTCATGAATTAAACAAATCCAACAGTTCTACGTTTAATTAATTATGGCCCTTTGTTCCCTAGAGATGGACAATTTGATAATGTAAACAAATGCTTCAAGCATTTCCTATGCAACTATATATATATAACAGAAGTTTGTGCTTTAAATGCTTAAATATAATTATGCCTTTCATCTTTTGCTTGATATACCATTTTCTAAATTAAGCTCATCTGTTTGGTCATGTAGTTGACAGATGGTAGTGACTTGTGAATGAAGAGCGAAGAATAAGATTTGCTACGAAGGTTCTGCTTCTCCTGCAGTGTACGTAACATCAATAAGATGTCAATGTATGTAATGTTAAGATAAGACTTGACCAGCACTGCTTCTCCTGCTTCTCCTACACTAGTTCATAGAAACTGCTAGAAGGTCCAGTCCTCTCATCGTGCTTGAGACCTAATGTGGTTTACAATTTTGAGAAACATTAGGAAATTCCTTGGTGAACTCTCATGAATTAAACAAATCCAACAGTTCTACGTTTAATTAATTATGGCCCTTCGTTCCCTAGAGATGGACAATTTTATAATGTAAACAAATGCTTCAAGCATTTCTTATGCAACTATATATTTTAATAGAAGTTTGTGCTTTAAATTAGACACCTTCTCTGTAATTAACGAGAAATTATATAGTAGTGCTGGAGTCCGGTCACGTAGTAATGGTGGAACTACATATAGGCTACCCTCGACTGTTGCCCAGTGCAACCTTAATCAAAATTATTTTTTATAGCACGTAATTTCAAGATTTTGACATTTAGCCCACCCCAGCCAACTCCTATATGTGCAAATTCTTCACTTTTATGGTTGGGTAGTTAAGAAAAGTCGTAGTTTTCTAGTCTTATGTCATGTTAATTGAACCGTTCAAGTTCAAAAAAATTAAAATTTAGTTGTTCTTGGTTTGACTTAATTTTGTTTAACAAAATATTAGCCCACCCTTTGGAAAAAATTTAGTTCCACTCTTGCACGTAATATAGCTCATATAAGTGTTATAATATGGATGGACTAAGTTGATATTTTTCCATTTTAAGTACTATGTGGTCATATTACCGTACTACACTATAAGATAGAGAATTATCATTCTTGCACCAAAAAGAATAAAAATAGGGATTTGTTATAACCCAAGGACTTAAAAGAATTTCATTTTACTTTTACTAAAATTCATGAGTTTATAATTGAAACTTTGAGCAGTGGTGCAAGAACGCAGCCCAAGAGAGGGATAAACGCACGAGAAGATGGAACAGAGGGATCAAAAGTGAGCAGTGGGCAACAAAAGAAAAACACAAACAAAATAGAATGAGTGGGAGAAATTGACAAAATAAAGAGAATCTGATTCTGTCTGTCTTTGTCGTTTTCTCCTATTCTATTCAAACTCGAATCCCAACCCCACCAAATATTTCACCATTCCAAAAGTGAAAAGACTAAAGCCTTCACTAGTTCTAGCATTTGAGTTAATTTTGTTTAATTACCATATTTTTATAATAAATAAAATTAAAATCCTTAACCTCTAGCTTTTGATTTATTATAACGGTTAGTCCCACTACAAATAGAAAAATTCAAAGTAATAATTGTAGACAATTAAATCCTCAAATAGTAGACAAATGAATGGTTTATTTTTCCCAAGTCATGAATATATCGACTACATACGGTTATCAACGATTCTACATCGTGAATACATATGAACCTCATAATACATCATCGATAAATTTCGTCCAACTTTACCAACTTTCCAATATTGAATTACCAAGATAAATAAACTTTCCATATTTCAATTATTATTATTATTTGCTATTAAGAAATTTTCTTGCCCGTACAACCTTTGATTACTAAGAATTATTATTTTTAACTAAAAAAAGTTAAAAAGAAACAGAAAGAATGCATGATCCGTGAATAATAAAAAAAGTTTTGACCAAAGAAAAAAAAGTTATCATTGAAAGGGTCAAGCTGTTTCCAAGAAATAACGTAGCCAGCCTATCATAGCAGACTTGAGAGCGTAGGGGCATGGTCGTCTTTCACCATCAAGCAGGAGCAAACTTGGAAAGAATGATTATCCTCCAATTTTGAATTTTCTTAGAAGAATCAACAAGAAAAACAACTTTGAACTTGGACTTTGAGTGATTGACATGGAAGATGAGCTGGTACCAGTTATCAGCTGCCATAAAAATAAAAGGAAATAGTCAAAACAGATTCCAGTTTGAATTCAATTAGGATTTTGTTTATCAAATATATCACGGTCAAGTCCTCTCCTGGTGGCCCAAAGGTTTTGAAATCTTATAGAAGAGGGTCTTCTTTCTGGTTTGCCGACTTCTCAATTTGTACTGATGTTTGCATCCTTTCCAAGCATCATTGCTCTTATATATGTAAATACATGTGAACAACGGCACATACACAAAGCAACATGCTAGTGCAAGCTTATAACCTAATGGCTCATGCCTTCCTTCTCTTCTTCTTATTCTCTTGCATTATATCTACAAATATTCATGCCTGCAAAAAAACTGAACACAGCTCCCTCCTGTCCCTTGCCTCCACTCTATCTTCTCCTCCTTTAAATTGGACATCCCTTGATTGCTGTCGTTGGAGGGGCATCACTTGTGATCAAGATGGTTGGGTCACCCATTTGCTCTTGCCTTCCAAAGGGCTCAAAGGAGGTATCTCTCCCTCTTCACTTAGAAATCTCACACATCTCACCCACTTGAACCTTTCCCACAATTCACTATATGGTTCACTTGAAACTCAGTTCTTCTTGTCTTTGAATCGACTTGAGATCCTTGATTTGAGCTATAACCGTCTTTCTGGAGAGCTACCACTTTCTCTACCATCCAGCAGTATCCAGACAGTTGATTTGTCCAGCAATCACTTCTTTGGTGCAATTCCATCTTCATTCTTCCAACAAGCAAGCAACTTAACTAGTTTCAATGTCAGCAACAATAGCTTCACAGGGTATGTCCCATCTTCTATTTGTCTTCAACATTCTTCTCCCTTCCTTAGGCTATTGGATTTTTCTTCCAATGTATTCAGTGGCAACCTCGCTCCTGGGCTAGGAAAGTGTTCCAAATTGCAGGTTTTTCGTGCCGGTCATAATAACCTCTCGGGATTATTTCCAGAAGATATCTATAATGCCACCAAACTTGAAGAAATTGCATTACCTCTCAATTCACTACATGGAGCCATTAGTGATAGAATTGCCAACCTCACTAACCTTGCAATCCTTGACCTCTACTTTAATCAATTGAATGGCGAGCTTCCTCACAATTTGGGGAAGCTCTCCAAGTTGAAATTGGTGACCCTTGATTTCAACAATTTAGAAGGTTCTTTGCCCCAGTCTTTGATAAATTGCACAAACCTTGTAGAACTGCATTTGTTAAACAACAACTTGGAAGGAGATATCTCCATGCTTGATTTCTCCAGACTGAGTCAACTTACTAAACTTGACCTCAGGTGGAATAACTTCACTGGTACGGTTCCTGTAAGCCTTTACTCATGTCGGTCGTTAAAAGCCATTGGATTGAGTAGAAATCATCTAGAGGGACAAATACAAGCTGAAATTATTTCATTGAAATCCTTGTCCTTCCTCTGCCTTGGTCACAACCGATTCACCAACCTCACAGGGGCAATGAAGATATTAATGAGTTGCAAAAGTCTTCACGTACTCATGCTTGATGGTGCCTTTAAAGGTGAGGGAATGCCATCTGATGATGACATGGTTGATTTTGATGGATTCCAAAATCTTCGGTTATTGAGTTTGTTTAATTCTGACCTCACTGGTCAAATGCCTGTATGGTTATCAAAGCTCAAGAATCTAGAGATCTTGCGACTGGATTTTAATCAAATCACAGGGCCAATTCCAAGTTGGTTGGGGACTCTGCCTAGACTGTTTCATATCTACTTGTCAGAGAACCAATTTTCAGGTGAATTTCCAAAGCAACTTTGTAGACTACCAAGGTTGGTATATAAACCTAATATTTCATCTCAATTAGACGACACTGGTTATGAATTTGAATTGCCTATCTTCAGCAGCAGCAACTTCGGCATATACACAAAGCAAACTGTTCTACAACAAAAAATGTCTTCTGTTCCAGCAATGATACGCTTATCTAACAATAACATTAGTGGTTATATACCTGCTGAGATCGGCCAATTACATCTTCTCCGCTTGCTTTTTCTTGACTCCAACACCTTCTCTGGCGTCATTCCAGACCAAATATCTAACCTAAAAAATTTAGAGATTTTAGACCTCTCCATGAATCACTTGTCTGGAATAATCCCATCATCATTGGCGAGCCTTAATTTCTTAAAAGAATTTAATGTCTCATATAATAACCTCGAAGGATCGATACCAACAGGCACCCAGCTCCAAAGCTTCGAAGCTTCTGCGTTTGAGGGGAACCCAAAACTTTGTGGTGCCCCACTTCCAAATAACTGCGGACCAAATAAGGACATGGATGTAGATAACAAGAACAATAAAGACGTGGAAAATGTGATTCCATGGTTTTATGTCTTTGCAGCATCGGGATTCATAGTAGGATTTTGGGGAGTTTGTGGTTCTTTAGTTATTAACAAGACATGGAGATATACGTATTTTCGATTCATAGACAATCTACAAGATATGCTCCTCTATTTGATGATAACAGTCCCCCTCAACATGATGAAAAGAGGGGTTAGAGGCTAGATATATATTATTAATAATTGTACTTTTTATTTTGCATTTTTTTATTTGGTGAATTGGGGGGAAAACCCCAAACAAACTAAACAAACTAAACAAACTAAACAACTCAAATCAAATGGGGCCTATGTTGGAAATTAGGAACATTATTTAATTGTTATTTAGTTTCCTTTTATTAGTTTATTGTAATTGATTTGGGTTAGTCTCCAAGTAACCTAGTTTTCCTAGTTAAGCTTGTAATATCTCTATAAATACTTAGCCTTTTGGCTCTATCAATAACACCCTAGAATTATTCTTCTCAATAAAATCTTTAATTTCACATGGTATTAGAGCACCGATTCTAGGGCGTCTCTTGAAACTTTTTACAAACCTCATTTTCTTCACGATCCGATGTTTCACAACCCTAGTTGCTAATCTTTGAAATCCTCTGCCAAATTGAGAGTCGTTGGCGCTTTTCATCCTTCACCCATGATGGGTATTCATCTTGTACAGTCATCTTGTTCACCCTCTCCTCAATGATCAATATTTTATTCCCGCTACCAAAGCCATACTATCCCACACTTCCTACATCTAACTAAACCAGCAGTCGCACCCTTCTTTGGTGCTGCAATTTCCTTATGTTTTTCATACCTCCAAGTAATGCTCTCTATACAAATCATATTGAGCCATATCTAGTCATGCTCTCTGTTGCAATCAGATTGAGCCCATGTTTTCATGTCAGACTACGCTTGCCACAACCGCGCCATCTTCGGCCTTCATCAAGCTTATCCATCATTTTCTTACCATGCCGTCTTCATTGCGGTTCCTCCATGAGCCTCGTCACTGCTCACTGAGCAGTTTATTTCCTCCGTGAGCCTCGTCAATGCTCACTGAGCCATCATGTCTTTGGACAACCCACGACATCTCCAACAAACGCAGGAGGCTCTACACTAACACTAGCACCACCGCTGTTGACCAGCCACTGTGTTCATTGATTCTTTGCCCCTGCCTAGAAACGATCAATCGCTCATATCCAAGCCATCGATCGTAATCTTCCTGAGAGCACCTTTGCACAACTGCTGGTCCTTTTTCTCTCTGTGTTGCCATCGCTTCTTTGCACACGAAAACCCAACATGAGCTTTCACTTTCTCTCCTTTGTTGATATATCAGTTTCTCTCTTTGAGGCTTCACATCAAACCCAATTTTTTGTTTTCTTTCTCTACCTAACTTTTTTCTTGGCCAAGTTTGCTATTTTCTTTCTGTCTCCACATCACCCAATTCTTCTTCTTTTTTTGTCAACTTTTTCGATGGGTCATATCCTTTTTTCGGTGGGTCATTTTTCAAAAAAAAAAAAAAAAATCACTTTCACGCCATCTTCTTGGCTTTGCTCCTTTTCTATTTTGTTTTTTTTATCTCTCTTTCATCATTATTTTTCATTCTCTCTTCTCCTTTTCCAAATCTCGACCCTCTACAAGCTTCGAATTTGAGGGGCACACGCAGATATGGGAGATAGACACATTGTCACACAAGCAGCTGCACACCATCATGCTTCCGCACAACTGCACCAGCAACATTATCAATCAGTTGCACCAGCAACACCATCATTCAGCTGCCCCAGTAGCATCATTATTCAGCCTCAAGGCATCATCCACAATATTTGTTGCACATCAGCAACATCAACAACAGCCTCCATACATGCAACATACGCTGAACATCAGCACAACTTTATTTGGGTGCTGCTTCCTTCAACTCATGACTCTCATACATCGTCGAATTTGAGAGGAGCAACAACCCCCTTTACAGCAGCACACCGCTGCCTCATTATCAGCAACCTTTGGGAGTAACACCTTTCACAATCTCTTGTGCAAGTTGGACGTTCTTGATATCCACCCTCCAACTTGAGGGGGAGTGTTGGAAATTAGGAACGTTATTTAATTGTTATTTAGTTTCCTTTTATTAGTTGATTGTAATTGATTTGGAGTAGTCTCCAAGTAACCTAGTTTTCCTAGTTAAGCTTGTAATATCTCTATAAATACTTAGCCTTTTGGCTCTATCAATAATACCCTAGAATTATTCTTCTCAACACAATCTCTAATTTCACATACGTACTCCTTTTCTTTCCTTTCCAAGAAACCAAGAAATATTTCATCTTTAGCCTTCTCTTCTCAGCAAAGTCCAAGAGGAAACTACACATACTTATATATGGCACCTTGTGAGTATGTTGATGTTCCAATTGGATTTAAGTTTCGTCCAAGCGATGATGAGTTATTGAGGTATTATCTTCTTAACAAGGTTTCTGGCACACCATTTAAGTATAGCAACGTTGTGTCAGAATTCAATCTTTATGGTAAGAAAGAGCCATGGGATATATGGAATGATTTCGGTGGACAAAACTTAGAAAAGGGTGAAGACCTCTACTTCTTCACCAAATTGAAGTTAGTCTAATTTCACAGCCTAGACACCCCTAACAAATCATCCACCTGTCTGCCGCGCGAATCTCGCGGCCTGGAGTTCCGGGCCGAGGGGATGTGCGTTGACACGCGGTTTCCTGCTTTTGGGTGCGGTGCGGTTGTGCGCGGGCGTGCCAGCACGGTCTACCGTGCGTCGAGTTGGTTGATGGGGATAGAATGGTTGAGTGGTGCGCCTGTTTGAACTCATCTTCTAATCAAACGATTGTAGCCTAGAGAGGAACTAGTCTCGGCTGTTAGGTTCACGGCCTAAACTACAAGGCCGTTGGGTGGTGTTGTTTGGTGGGTTTTGGGCGGTGCTCCGGCGCGCTGCTCAGGGAGTGACGGTCGTATGATATCTGGGGTGAGTGAGCGAATAACAGGGATGGTGCTCCGGCGCCTTGAAAATCAAGGGTCGTATGATATATTGATGAATTAATTTTCCTTACAAACTATCACTACTCCTAGGAAAGCAGGTAAAATACTGAAAGTGCATTACAGGAAAATATAAGTTGCTCCGTGGGAGGCTTTTGTTTGGTGTTTGAACCCTTTGAATGTAGCTCGAG